TGACACAGTTGTTGTCAGATTTCTTTGGTGATTTCAAATATGAAATTTAATCGTAAGCTTAGTGAACAGTTTTGGAGAACTTGATGTTTCCCCATTCAAAGAGATAGCAGTTGCACTTGCATGCCTGAGAGGCGTTTCAAAGATGGCCACCGAGTGACATGACTTGTCTTAAAGGGACTTTGACTGAACTCAATATGCTGTTCAGGGTATTGTGTACACAGGGTCATAAAGTTCTTCGGCAACAAACTGCCTCTCAATATTTCAGCTGAACAAACTTTACATATTGCTATTCTAGCATCAGCTCTGTTCATGGTGAATTTCATCTAGCCAATCTATACAGCTGACATGTTTAACTGTTGCAGCTTCACGAATGTTTGCTGTCCGTCTCGGGATCTGGAGGGACTCTGGTCGGCTTGCTTCGTCCCAGCTGCTTTAGATTGGCCGATGGCCACGATGTGGATAATTTATCTTTCTCCGATTCCTTGTCGTCTCCTGTCCTTTGACTGAACGTGGGTTGAGGAGGCGCGACATTGTCCCTGCTCTTCTTTTTCCTGAACAGCTCCTTTCTAGGCGATGATATCCGTGAGTGCAGGTTTATCGGTGGAAAAGGCATTTTGAACGCTAGCAGTGCGCGAAATAATGAAGAAATCTGTGCGTGAATGATGGGAGAAATACGTCCATTCGGATCTTTGGGTATTAGACGCAGTAGTCCATCGCGCTCCGCATTTCACTGCTAGACTGACAAGGGGCGGGGCATCTGCGAGCTTTATGTGGTGTCGAGCAGAAGGGGCGTGGTCACAGCATAAAGATAAAAACAACAAAGCCATGCTCACACAAGTGCCTCTATGAATGTACCCTATAAAGGAAGCTCAGTGCATTTCACACGATGCAAAATAATACAGCCATGTTCTCACTGTTCTAGCTGCGTAACCACTTGTGTAGTTCATGAACCATGAATGTCATTAATTTTTTTTAAACTGTAGCTATATCTATAGCTTTATTTAAACCAAACACAATATTTGCTTAAAATATTGTGCTTCTAAATAAATGTCTGTCTGTTTAATATTGCTTTTCTATAAATGTAATGGCATCCATATCATATTATTTTCTTCTTCAAAAAAATACAAATAAATAAAACAATAAGAAACGGGGCCAATCCGTTAACATTACAGTTATTTTAACATGATTTTAGTCAAATAAATAAATAAAAATCACTATCACTTACCAACCTTTTCATTATTTTAATTCTGGCTTGAATAAAATAGATTTAAAGCTTAAGCTAATACACACATTTTAACAAAAAATACAAAATAAATACATAAATAATAGGTATATTTTTACATTTTAAGCTCCGCATTTTTGCTCTCCATTTATTTCTATTATTCATGTCTAACTATAACCTTGGTTTTTGCTCTTTTTTTAAAGAAAATAAAGTTTATAAAGACATTTTTTGTGGTAGTCATATTGAATACTGAATGTGAAATATTTCATTTGCACTTAAGTGTCCGAATAGTTTTGGGATACTGATTATCTGCACATTACCATTATTCTTTAAAGAATTAGAACAGGATAACAGATTTGAAATAGCGATGTATTGGAATGCAGCTATAACGCAGATGCAATCGACGGCACTTTTTTTTTTTTTTTTTTTTTTTGACCGTGACCCGAGTGTCAATTACAGTAAAAAAAAGGAACAATGGGAATATTTTATATCAATATCAAAATACAGTGTGACAACAGCAAACACCAGAAAAACAAAAACAAAACATGCTGACACATGTGCCTGTGTACACATTCAGACTTGACCTGTTTTTTTCGTAGACATCAACTGCTCTCCTCCTCACCCTGAGGCCCTTAAACAATGAGCTGTCCTTTCAGTTTCATACAGTCCAGCTAAAAGAGGAAGATATCACCAGAAATACTAATAACAGGCCTTAAAAAGAATTGCAGGACTAATATTAGTTGTGTTCAAGATGTACGTGACATGACTGTCATCTATGGCTTAACATCACTGGTAAAGCTAGTGCAGACTAGACTGATGTAGGTTGTTCTCTTAGTCATGATGTTTGTTCTATGGATTGAGTAATAATCCTTTCAGCTTCTGCCTGAAATCACATGGTGCTAATGAGAACCAGGAAGCACTTGGTGCTCAGAAAGGAGATAACATGTTGTTGCCATGTAGTTCAATATAAATAGAGGGGCTTGTTGTTTTTAAACTGAGCATTCAATTAACAGATACAATTTGGTCACATGAGATTTACTCCTTGTCAGATGGACCTTGTTTCATCTGTGTGCATGGCACGTATGTATTTAAACAACGTTTCACTGCCAAATGTGGGAGTAGAAGTGTGTAATGAAACTAATTAAAATGTGTTAGAGGTGTGAGTGAACTAAGATAGTGAGGTCTTCAGGGGCAAGGCAGAGGAAGAACAAAAAAGAAGAAGATATTTTACATGATATTGAGTTTTCTCATTGGCTTAAGTTTTAAAGACTACCATAAATTGCAAATCAGAAGTAGTAAATTACAAGGTAATTTTACCATTTGCATTACCATTAGAAATTCTGCACAGTGCACACTGGTCTATAAAATGTAGGCTAGAAAAAACATTGTGGGTTGAATTTTGAAGAGGATTTTGAAGAGTAAAAACAGTAATATTGTGAAATATTATTACAAACAAAAATAATTGTTTTCTAAATAGATATATTTTAAAAAGAAATTTATAATGTAATTTTCAGCTGCCATTAAACCTCCATGCCACATGATCATTCAGAACTCATTCTAATATGCTGGTTTGCTGCTCAAAATGTCTTATTATTATCAATGTTAAAAACACTTGTGATGCTTTATATTTTGGGGGGAATTCGTGATACATTTTGCAAGATTTTCTGATTTAATACAAGATTCAAAAGAACATAATTTATTTGTAATACAAATCATCTGTAAAATTATAAATGTCTTCTCTGTCACCTTTGATTAATTTAATGCGTTCTTGACTAATAAAAGAACTGTACTAATTTATTTGCTTTATGCTTCAATTAGGCTCTTTCCTTCATTATGATATCGACATCAATTTTAATTTTAATACAGAATCATGAAAACATGTTCATCATAAGAGGTATATTCAAGTCAAACTAGGCTAAGAGAAATTGACATACAGTCTGTTCAATAGGTTGTACTGGTGTTGTATACTTGGGTGTTGTGCATTCAGCTGATGCATGTGAAAATAATTTTAAACGTCCTATAGACATATTGCAGATGAGCAAACACTCTAAAAATAGCTACGTCTTGCAGATGTAAATGTAAACGTCAAATAGACGTCTCTGTGATGTACGTGTGCTATCAGGAAAGACACTGTCTTTACACAGAGGCTAAGTTTATGCAACTGGTCCATGGTGTTGTGAAAATTAGCCCTTAACTTACTGTATGTCTATCCCTTACAGCCATTTTAATTTGTAAAATGTTAATGTCATCCACCTTCTCAAAAGATATATGAAGGGAGGCACTTCTGATAAATTTCATAGTTTTACTCAGCAGTTTGTTCATGTTGTTTACCTTTGCTTCCGAGGTTTCTGAGCCTCACTTTCAAAACAGCAGCTGAAATGAGCCTAATGTTAGCTTTCGTGAATGGCCTCAGTTGAATATAAAATAAGCTTAAATGTGACAAATCCTGGTAACAAGTAACAGTGTGATTCTGAACTATATTTAGGTCTTGCTCTGGTAAAGCAACAATGCAGGTGTACTTGACAGCCCATTACTGCATCTAGGGATTTCCCAGGTCAACTTAATATGCTGCTATACAGCTCTAGCTTGTCTCTTTGTATAGCTGAGTAGTCGAAATGGTAAGCTTAGGATCAAAAACTAAACCTTGAATACTAAAGAGTCACTTGGTGGGAGTGGGACAAACATGGGTGTACATATTTTGAGAATATGAAAACATTTTAGGAAATATTTGCTGACTAAAACGTGTTTTAATTTGATCCCGAAGGACTAACTTACCAACAGTGGCAATAGTGTCCAGGTCATCTAGTGTGTAGGTCCTGTTGGTGGTCAGGGATGCGGCCCCTGCGGATAACGTGGGACTGCCTGCGTCTGTCCTGCCACTATCCCGACCAGAACTGCTTTCACTATGTAGTCCAGCTTTGCCTTTAGTTGCTGCCATCTTCTTCCGTATGCTTTTCTAACTCTAGCCACATTAATGGCCACGTCTAGATACCAAGTCCAGAATTTCCGCTTTTGGAAAAAGCTTTTGATAACACACACACATTGATCTGTTTCGGTCAAGTTAACATATCCTTTGTTCGCATAAACCAGACTGAGACCCTCTGCTTTTCATCGCCTGGTAGCCAGACATTTATCAGGACTGAAAACACTAGTAAACAACAAGTCGTTAAAATTTCAAGCGATTCATGTCAATGGTACTTTCTTTTATTCTGCACTTTATTACGGACGTCCCCTGCACGACTACTGTAACGTTACGTTAACAAAGCCAGGAGCGGACAGGATTCAAACTTCAGTCTTACGAATCCAGGAGGTTATCCAGTCGAATTTTTCAGGAGCAAGGATACGGCATGGACGCTGGTTGATAGTCGCTTAATGTATATTGCCAGACATAAGAGACATTTAAATTATTTAATTCCCTCTTCCGTCCCCATCAAAGAAATCTGAACCCATTTCCCCTTCAAAACATCGTTCAGCGGCAAGGAAGCGGAGAAAGGCTTGAAAACTGACAGGCATCGGCGTCAACCAATCATATGCAGCGCGCTTGCTGTAATGTCCAATCGAACGTATGAAAAGGCGGGGCTCTTCCCGACTGAACGCTTGAGGGTACGTATTTTTCCTGTGGTTTGTAGCACATGTAGACAACGTAGACTTTACCACGCCTTGGGTACTATTTCGGGGGAGGAGGACACGTTGTAGAACGAGTCTTGAGTCTTTCAGATAACATGTTGGCTATTTATAAATTTAACCCTCTATGGCATAGTGTTGCCCTCAGGCAACAAACCACTTTTTTGGACCTCACACCCCCCTTTTAATTTTTTTTAAATAAAAAAAAAAATATATATATATATATACATATAATATCACCTGACATGTCTGTTCAATAAAATGATGGGCTGAAGTGGGTGTAGCCTTTTGTTTGGGGATGGAGCAGTCATTTTAGGAAGCAAAGCTGCATGGGACACCGTGCCACAAATTGGTAAGATAAATAGCACTGTTTAACATGTTTAAAATGAAATATCTTTATATAAAAAAATATATGCATGTGTATCAAAATGTAAATAAGTTTGATTATTACAATACTTACTTTGTTTTTATTTATATACTAAAACTGTGTTTTTTTGTTTGTATACCTATGTCATCCCTTTGTCATTATACAAATTTATGTCCTCATTTGTCACAAAAACGCGCACACAGTGACACACACACAATGACACACACACAGTGGCACACACACAGTGGCACACAAGCAGTGACACACACACACACACACACACAGTGGCACACACATACACACACACACACACACACACACACACGGACATGTCATTTGGCTGTTGGTTTACAGTATATGGTAATATGTAATATGAGGAACATTTATACATGAAGTGTTGTAATTAGTAATAGTTTGTTTATTTGATTGTTTGATGTTTTTGACTGGGTTGGAATAATTTGTGATTAATGTTTATCAAAATAATAACTTTTTCTAATGCATATGCTTGTTTTCTTTAATACACATATATAGAGAACCTTGGTGTTTTAGTACCCTCATGGCACATTGTTGCCCTGAGGCAACAAACCAACATCTGGATCTGGGGTGGGAGGGGCGACACATTTTATGATGGATATGGGGGCTGGACGATTAATCGAATGCGATTGTCATTGCACGATTCTGAAATCGAAGAAATCGTTCGCGATAATGACAGATGTTTGCATAGCTTCTCAGTGAACTACGGCTCTGTGAAGTAAATGCTGCTCCATCTGAAAGCATGTGAAAATACCACATAACATAACATATTTTTACTCCAAACTCACTTCATAACATCAGTCGAGTGTTTGAAATAAATCCTTCTGTGAGATGATGT